AAAGTATTGTACGGAGAAATTGAGCTGACCAGCAGCCTTTGCTGAAGAGAAGTACAGGTTCAAGTGAGCTTACAGCTCTTTTTACTGGACTCTGATAGAACAGCCAGCTATCCTCCAAACCACAGTTACAGATAAACTAAGCTACTGATACGCAGAGAAAACTGATAGACTAGCCACCAGTTTGTGGCCAAAGTGCTTTGCTCAAGTGATTTGCCATCAGCACAAGCCTTAAATAATTATCTTGTGTGCTTTTGACTTATCTTTAAAACTAAGGTTAAACAATTTATCAAAAATTAGGCTAACAATTTTATGAGGAAGCCTAACTGAGATGGATACTGAATATTCACCAAATTCCATTTATGTAACTCTTGGAGAGCTTTCGAATTTTTCTACCTACACTACTGCAAATTGAGTACTGATAAAATACAGTCCACATCAGCAGGACCATAGTGAAAAATAGCAGAAGTGGCAAGGTCTTCTACGTACATAGCACCTTCTGTTGGAAAGCAAAGACATTTTAGGGATATATGTGAAAAGATGTCATGCAGTACTTGGAGTTCAGTTCCATTATCCACACATAGTAGATGAGAAACAAAGAAAATTTAAGCCATCTGCTAAACATAACAAACAAAGCCAATAGAGGAAACAGCACACCACATAGTTTCCAAAGGCTTCCTTCCTTGGTATTCTCAAAAAAAGTAGCTAATTAGAAACTAAAAGTCCATCTTAGCCTACAATACTTTTTTTCAGTCACTGCCTCCCACTGGTTTTAAATAGAACTGTGATCTGGTAACTGTTAATTCAGGCCAGTGTCATATGAAGGTAGTTTATCATCATTAACACTGTCTTCAAACTCCGAAAGGATAAATAAATAAAACAAAAAATATATACTCTGCTATTTTATTCTTATTATTACATTTAGGTAACTACTACAGATTTCAGCTCATATTACTCTTGCCATGACACAATTGTTTCTAGAATCAGTTGAATTCACAACTATATTGAAGAACTGCATAAGCCCAGCTGATGTGGTACAACTCCTTACGCCAGCACCATTCATTTTTTCTCTGGCCCAATACTCCTAATACTTTCTGGCAATCCTTAAGTATTACTGGTTATTAAGCAATTGCACACATTCACAGATACACTGGTATTAGTTCAAAGAGATGGTCCACCATTTGAATTAATTTTTCAAACAGTAATGTCCTTGCTACTTTGTTTTGTTGTGGTGTTATAAAATGGAACACTTTGAAAAGCTCTTTTCATAAAACTTTTCTTAAAATAACAAATCTCAAAGCAGTTAATTTCATCTTAAAATACAAAGTAAGGGAACGACTGTCTTTCATGTAGTCAGATTACCCCCAAAACAATGTATTTGTAGAGAAAAATAGCACTGCAGGACTTTATACAAGCACGTCATATATTAAGTGACAACACATAAACCAGAATTTGGTCACTTTCAGTCAACTTCAGTTCAGACATAATTGAAATCAATGGAGCCATACTAGAAAAGAACTTGGTATGTCAAATCTTACTGGGAGTTCAAAAAGACCTGACATGGCTCGCTTAAATGTTAACAGGAAGCTAAATCTTAGTTAAAATAGTTTAGGAATTGAGTAAAACAGCGTATGTAATTAAAATGCTGTTTATAAAGAACAATGAGAATAGCTGAAGATAGCAAAACAAAGTGTCTATGATATTTAGTAAGAAGACCATATGCTCTGTTTTTGAGTTTATAGCACGATCAGATGCAGATATAAAATTATGCAGTTGACAGACCAAATCCTGCTGTTAGCTGTACCATGCAACCCCACCAAAATATGCTCAGCTGTATTAGTCCAACAGAGAGGACACCTTGGTCAATATGCATGTAGATGATACCACAGCTAGTAATGCAAATAAAGTGCTATCAAAAGTTTATGTCTGAAACAGCTTACAGTCACATGCAAGATATACATATACACACATAGAGATATTTTTTTTCCCCATAAGATATTTGCTCACTGAAGTTTTCTTAACATTTTGATGCTAACTTCTTTTGAAGACAAATCTCATTTAACTGATACACATTTGGCAAATACTGCTTCAAGCAAAATCAACTTTACTAAACTGTGTACCTATGAGAATCCAAACACACTCAACACATTGAGACCTCAGATGAAAAAGTTTTATTAAATTTAGAAACATCTAATTCACAGAGTTATGCAAAGTTTACTCCAAACACTAGAAACAGCCTATATAGTGTTTGAAACAGCCTTTGTAATTCCATAATGGGAATATAAGGCTTTATTAAATTCCACAGGATTGTTAGAAGAAACCAAGCAGAAGGATCACCATTCTCTACTAAATTCTCTAGTACTTTTCCACAACAGTGACACACAATTATACATTTCTACATAATGTTTTTAGTGTTGTGTCATTACAGATGGAAGTAATGTGATCATTGAACAATCTAAACGTTTAAGAAATTCCCATGCCACAGAAGCTTTCATTGAACCTATTACATCTATAGTAATGAAAACTATCACTCTTATAGAATCCACCTGGCTACTGAGTAGGAAGAAAATGAGATTTTGTCTGAGCCACTGTTAATTCATTCCAAATAACTGCCCAAATTTCAGTCAGATTCTGGTCTGAACAACATAAAGTCCAAATGTTGCATTTTATACTCATCCTTTAAAATAACATACAAAATGTAAATGCAGGTTCAGCCTTAGAACCCTGTAATCTTTCAATGTGATGAGATGCTCAGATTAATCAACACTTTGTTCTTAGTAACAAAACATTAAAAAGAAAAAGAAAAAAAGCATTTTAGCAGAAAAATGTAATATTTAAAATCCTCTGCTGCCCTTATAAGAAACTATTTAAAATGTGTCAACTGTCCCTTGCAAATATATTACAGCAAAAAATAAAGATGAAAATCTGGTTGCAGGGAAGGAGTAGGAGTTTTGTTTCTTGGGAAGATTTTCACAATGAGATGTTTAAGGTAAAAGAAACTCCTATGACTCAATACATAAGCTACATGTCAGACTGCATTTAAGAAGAAATCAGGAAGCAAATTATAACAGTTCTTAGAGAAAGGACGATAGAAATTGCATTGTAATCGGTATGCTTCAAAATTTGTTCTGGCAGGGTGTTCCATCTGTTATTCTATGACCTTCACACAAACCATGCACTTCAATAGGATTATCTATTTATAACAGGAGTACCAATTCTTGCTCTATTACAGTAGAATGGTGTTTCCAACCATTTTCAATTTCAATCCCTCAATAATTTTACAATGGATGTGAGAAACAGGCGCCATACACATAAGCCTATTGACAAAGGGTTTCTTTTCTTCTTTGCTTCTTACAGATCTCTATAAATAATGGATTGCTCTCCATGGGTTTACAGACTGAAAGTTGAAAAATGTTTCACTAAATTTGCAGTGACTACACTGACTTATGTATGGAAAAGTAATTTGCACCATTTGCTAGACATACCGTATGTCTTCAGCCAACAACAACTTTAGTCCAGGAAAAAGACAACTACTGAAACACAGTAGCAGACTTCAAATATATAAAAAATGATAAAATTGTGGTAGTGATTACAGAAATACCAGTGCAATTTGTAGAAGGAGATTCAGCAAACACATAGAAAACACTTCTGAACTCTAATTGGTTTGAAGAATCTGCAGAATTATCCCTTTGGGAGACCTTATGGTTTGGGGAAAAGGAAAGAAGGAAACATGAGTAATCATCTAAATTGTACTACCCCTTTTTTTCTAAAGAGTGGGAGTACAGTAGCTGACTCCTAGAGATCCTTTTCAGTCTTTGCTGTACACGACATCACCATCGCCTTTTTTGTCATTTCATTAATAAGAAAAATTTTGTAACTGCACCATTAACTGTTCAGAACAATTAGATTTCAAAGAATCCTCTCAGCTGACTGCTTCCTACCTCTAACGTGCTTACATACAGCTAAGCTAACAGCTTTACTCATGTCATAAGAAAAATACATTCTCTATCTCCCTTGCTTGTTAGTTAGAGGAGGTTTTGTTTTGTTTTTTAGTCTTATTCTATCAGGTACCTGCAAAGGCATTCACAGAATCACAGAATGGTTTGGGTTGGAAGGGACCTTAAAGATCATCCAGTTCCAACCCCCTGCCATGGGCAGGGATGACACCCACTAGATCAGGTTGCTCAAAGTGCCATCCAACCTGGACTGGTTGAGCTCTGTTTCAGCTTATCCTGCTCCAGCCTGAACGTTTACTGCACAAAGTTCTCTGTGTGATATACAAAGATGTACAAGGCATAGTGCAAATAATTCCACACTATGTAACCACATAAAAGAATTTTAAATTATGCATATGGATAATTTCATCATTGTGGAAAACCGTATTTTAAGTTACACACTTAGTCCTATCACAGCCCCCCTGCATACAGCAGGGAGTGAACACCACCACTTTCAAGTGAAATTGGTGAAGACGGAATCAAGACACCAGCTCACGCATCACAACGACTGATGAAGTTTCAACTTCAAACGTGACGCTTAAGAAAGTTGTCGGCGTAGCACTTATTGAAGGAAAGATCAGCATCACCAGATATGTGGAGGCTTCTTCTTGACAGCGCTCAGCTCCTGGGCAACAAAAGCCACGTCCCTCGGAGAGCTGCGGCGTTAGCAGGGTTGATGCTGGGTGCACGGCTGCCTTCATGCCAAGGAAAGTCAACGCCGTAGAAGTTCTCCACATGCACAGCGCTACCACGGCGCTCAGGGTGCGAGCCCTTCCCAGAGGCACAAACCAGCGTGCTCTTCACAAGCTATCGCTGAAAGCACTTCCCTCGATTTACGTTTGTGAAAACTTAACGGGATGCAGATATACGTGTACACAGCCCCACGGCGCTCTCGGGGGCCCAGCCCACGCCGCAGCCCCCCGCCCCTGCTCCCGCTCCGCCTGTCAGGGACCCCGACGGCCCCCCCGGGGCTGGGGCCGCTGCTGGCGGCCCCCGAAGGGTACTCACATGCCAGATGGCGAAGAAGATGAGGGCGGCGCAGAGGACCAGCGACAGCATGTAGCAGAAAGCGGCGAAGGTGAAGGCCATGGCGGGGAGCCGGCACGGGGGAGCCGCGACCCCCGAGCCCCCGGGGGGCAGACGGGCGTCCGCGCCCCCAACGCCGGCCGGGCGGAGTTCGTCGCCCTCGGACAGCACAAGGGAGGGGATGCTCGGCCCCAGGACAAAGAGCTCCGGGAGGCTCCGCTCCTCCGAGCCCGTCCCGCCTCCCGCAGCGCCGTGCCCGGCCTCCGCCCGCCCCCTCCACCTGCTGCGGGCGGCGGAGCGAGCTGCGAGCGGCCCCTCCGCCGCCCTCCCCTCCCCTCCCTTCCCCTCCCTTCCCCTCCTTTCCTCTCCGCCCCGGCGTGTGAGGCGCGGGGCTGGCTGCCGACGGTGATGGAGGCGGCCGGGGGGCTTCGCCGAGGGGTGGGTGTGTGTGTGGGGGGGGGTCCTGTCACCTGTAAGGCGGTGCCTTCCGTCACGACCGCGTGTTTCTGATGGAAACCGTATCACCACATCACGACAGCGTGAGCGTGGGCTATGAGCTGAGGTCGGCTTGGGCCAGATCTTGAAAACATGACTTGCCCAAACTTGCTTCTTTTTTTATTTTTAGGATGAGGTAAATCCGTTCCGAGGAGGCCGCTCTGAGGAGGAGAGCATGGCCAGACGAAAGCTGCCAGGGGGCACCTCCCAGGAGGACAGGCAGAAACGGCCCAGGGGCGATCTGACTGCAACTGAGCCGCCCAGCAAAGTACTACCCTGAGATATTTCCCCACAAGGTGAAAAGGATATTTGCAGATAGGGTAAATAAAAGGCAAAGCCGTTTTAAACGACAATTTGGGAGATTGCGCTTTGTGACTTCTGGGTATTCGCAATATCCAAACAGCTAAAATACATGTTTAAAATGAAGGGTAAGCCTCTTCCTGCTTACCTGGTCTTTGACAGCTCCCATAGTGTCTCCAGACATGCCTTAGCCGTTTCTGCAGGGAGTTTATTTAAGATTTACAGCCAGTTCTTCTGTCTCTTTGTACCACAGCAGCTGGCAATACAGCAGGTTTGCAGACGAACAAACAGAAAATCAGTAGAAAATACCACAGAACTACCAGAGGACTAATCTAAAAATATTCTGAAAACCATGGATGAAAGCTATATGTTTCCAAAGTCTTTACAAAACTTAAAAGAATTTCAGTTCATGGCATTATTTTCTATCTATGGGTGGGAGGGACTAATTTGGTTAAAATTATGGTATAGAATTTTAAATAAAATGTGCACTTCTACCATGAGGGAAGAGTGCTGACTTGAACTGAGTGTCAAGGCTGGTAATTAATAAACCAATCAGGAATAAACTGATGGAAATAACCTTTTATAAGTGAGCTGCTCTGGAATGTGCATGTGATTTGGTGATTTAATTAAGAAGGACAGAACACAGCAAATAATGAGCTTTGCTGTCATACAAAGATGCAGTAAATGTATTGTAATTCTTTGACCTTTTTAATTGCTTTGTGTCTGAAATTCTGCAGAGCATAGACTTGAGAAAGTAAAGGGTTTACTCATAACCACACATTTTAAAAAGAGCTGAAAATGAGCTACAGAAGCAGCTTTGGATTTTATGTATTTTTTGTTTTATTTTGTCCTGGTTGCTTTAAAACCTAGATTTACATTACCTATGCTAAGACTCATCACAGAGTACCCAATGCTTCCAGGAAAACAAAAATAAAATGTTTCCTTCTGGAGCACTTATGAGCATGTACATGTACACACACATATATGTATATAAATAAAAATATACTATGGGCATCATTAAAGACAGACATGGAAGCAATGATTAAGTATCAATTTGGAATATAAGGTAAATATTCTCCTGTTTTCCACTGCCTCTTATCCTCATTTACATTTCAGTTATGTATTTGGAGCTGTTTGATGAACACACAGGTGAAATATGTTTCTCATTTTGCAAAGTGACAGTTCCACAGCCAAATGCTTCCAATATTGCACAGTCTTTCCTGATATTGATTTCAAAACATGTATTTCCCATTGGCCATACTTCTAATCATTAATCATTGTTAATGACTGACTAATTACAAAAATTCCTGATAAAAAGTTAAAGAAAAAGCTATCAAGATGCTTTTAATATGTTTTTGTCCTATCACCTTCTTATGTTATACCATAAGGATATCTTATGTATCCTGAGATATTTAACTGATGGAAAACAGTGGAAGATTCTGCCGTCACTTAGTACATCTCTGAGATTTGTCTAGGCTACACAGTAATCACTAAAAATGGCTTCCTTATCTCCACCTCATTAGAAACTCATTACAACTTAGTGTATGATGAGGACCTCACAGCAGGGAGCCATTTCTATGTCATTTCTGAACTAGATTTCTGCAAATCATGGTAAGTGAGGCAAAAGGTGAAAATAATTTAGATGTGCCTGCCCCTTTTTTCACTGGCTTAAGCCCTGAGAACACAGCAGGAACATAAGACTGTCTATTAGCTCTACATTCACTTCTAAGGTCTTAGTCCTAGCCTTCAAATAAACTAATGGTTCTGATCCTAGCTGCATGAGAAATTATAGTCCAGGACCCAGCTGTTCTCCTTTGAAGTAATGCACATCACAGAGACCAGAAGGGATGGCTTGAGAGCTGAGGGGGCTGCATTATCAACTGAAGGGATCTGGAATAAACACAGCAGATGCACAGAATATGATCACCTTTAGAAAAAGAAAACGTTATTTTCAAAACTGTTGTTTTTACACTGGTGACTTTACAATCGCATTTTACAGATGCAACTTTAAAATGTTGTAATCCATTATTTGAGCTGCATGTTATAGGAAGTCCTAGCGCAGGAACCCCTTGCTGCTAGCCAGGCTAGGGGAAGGAGAGGAATTGCGATGTTAAACGATACAGTCTGGTCCAAGGGTGGAGATTTTGATGGATATACCTTTACATTGTTGTAAACCATGATCTTATTTCATGTTATAGGCTGTCACATAGCAGGAACCATTCAAACCAACAGAGCACGAGCATCACAAGAAGCAGAACTACTGCAGCAGTGACTTGACCTGAGCTGGCTGTGATGTCCATCTACTGCACACAACACAGTGCCTCTCCCATCCTGAGTGACCACCACAACAGTGAAATATAAGAATCTAAGTCATGGGCTAAAAGAACTCAGTGGATATTTTGCAGACATTTTATGGACATCTCACTGGGTTGGTCCATAGACTAAGGGAATGATATTTGTGTATTCGTTGAAAGGTGGTGATTAATGAGAATGTCTTGGAAACGTGGAACCTGAGCACGACAAAAGAGGCATGGAATAAGCAGTGGATATAGTCATAGTTTTGGCTAGGATAGAGTTCATTTTCTTCTTAGAGGCTTGTATGATGCAGTGTTTTGGATTTTTTTATGAAAACAGTGGTGATAACACACCAGTGTTTTCAGTTGTTGTGGAGCAGTGCTTGCACAGAGTCAAGAACTTTTCAGCTTCTCTTGCTGCCCTGCCAGTAAGCAGGCTAGAAGAGTACAAGGAGCCAGGAGGGAACACAGCCAGGACAGTTGACCCAAACTGACCCATGACATACACCACACCACATGACAGCACACTCAGCAGCAAAAACTGGGGTAAAGAAGGAGGAAGGGAGAGATGTGTGGAGTGATGGTGCTTGTCTTCCCAATAAACTGTTATGCATGATGAGCCCGCTTTCCTGGCAGTGGCCAAACATCTTCCTGCCAATAGGAAGCAGCAAATTAATTCTTGTTTTGCAAGGAATCTCTGGCTTTATCACTTCTGACTAGCTGAATTCCTTCAGAGCTGAAAATGGAATAATAAATTTTGTGAATAAATAAGCTACGAGAAACTCTTCACCCGTCACTGAAGATCTAGCAGAGCCTTGCTGGTTGCTCCTGCCTACTGCAGACACAATTAAGTTCCACTTCATGTCCCCATCATTCTAAAGAAAGAAGCCAGAACTAAGTCAAACATGTGATGTCCTTCTTCTGAGCTCTTCTCAGAAGGAAATGAAATTTTCTCACATTAAATGAAATTTTCTTCTTTCTCTCTTTATACAGAGACTGCTATTGCTAATGCATGCTCATCCCTATTATGCAGAAAACAACAGACTAATGCAGTAGAACAAAGAGCTGGTGTCTTTGCTATAATTTTGAGAATTTTCAGTATTTCACCAAACTGATATATGTGTTCTATCTCAGTTCATGGTCTTAGTCATTTTTAACTTGCTCGCATAAATGAGTAGCTTCAATATGGTGTTCATAAATAAGTGTTGACTAATGAATACATAAGCATTACTTTATGTCTGTATTTATTTATTTATTTTAAAAAGTGTGTTGCCACAGGTTTATGAGGGGTAGGTACATCCACAACGTGAAAGGAAGGAGAGGCTACACAGACATTAGCAGCACATACTGCAGTGTCAGTACAAATGGACTGGTTGCCATCAGCTCAGGACCTTGTAGCTTTGCCTCGTTGTTCTCTCCATCTGATAAATTAGTATCAGTTTTTACTTATCTAATTTTAAAGAAGAAAAAAAATATATCTCAAATCCCAAGAGTTGTACTATTACCATAACAATACCAGAAGAGATTATCAAATGCTGAATTTATTTAAAGATTGTCCAAACTGATCCCCTAAGCTCCTGCAACTTTGAAACATATTCATCATGTTTTGCCAGCAAGAAAACCAAAAGACCATAAATGGGGATTTTTTTTTTATTTTAATTATAGGAGTTAAACTAATGGTGTAGCACTGTACCACTTTGAATTTCAGTTCCGTCAAAGTCCCTCATAAAAATTATTTTAGTATTTGATGAGAGCCAAAGAATTGATTTGTAAATTGAGAAAATACCAGAAGAAAAGGTTGGAGGTAGCAATGGAGGAGTGGGAACATGTTTAATAAGAAGTCTCATGAGAATGGCAGTGCTGAAAGATCATTCCTATTCTAAATATAAATCTTCAATACATTAACCATCCTGTTTTTAACAACATATGAAATACTCCTAGTCTGAAGCAGAAGCAGCAAGAGTAAGTGATTCTTTGTGATTTATCCATCTCTTACAAATAAGAGAAGGAAAAGGTCAGAAATCCTGGCTGGAGGTTCTCGTACCATTTATACCACAAATATATTCTCTTCATTTGGATTATTTGGATTCTCTACTTTTTTTTTTTTTTTTTTTTCCTGTTATGCTGAAAAGTCTAAATAAATTTGCCTAGATCACAAGGTCAGATAATGAATGTTT